GGTTTCTTATTAAACGCGTTTTTATTTAGCGGGCTGATGGAGATTAGGCGCGGGGTTCTGCTGGAGAACAGATTGATTGGCGGTCGCGCCTTATCAGGAACTAAACAATAACAAAACGGTTGCTAAAGCAGCTTAAAACTTTATGGTAGGTACTATGCAGCCTATCGCATTAAATTATGTATGTAGGTACCTATTCACATACACCCAACGTCTCCACACAATTTCCAAAACATCTTCATCCATGTCGTTTGTTAGTTATAATCTTCTATGTATGTAAAAAAGAATAACAACCCTATAAAAATACCCGGGATATTCACCCCTCTCTCTTCTACCCCCCTATTCATTTTAATGAATGTTCCTGGTGACCAACTTTTGTTTTTTCCTACGAAGTAGTTATCTTCTCTAGTTAATAAATTCCATCTACTTCGACCTCAACTTCGTCCACGTTTTTCTATCAGCGCTCGTCAGGCGCAAATACCCCCGGCCACAATGGATCCGATCAACTTCGATATAAACGAGGCGCTCATGCACTACATGAGTGATCCGGCAAGTATCGTTACTCCCGAAGCCGACAGCGCCCTAGCCGACAGCGAGTCCGATCCCGAATCGCTATCCAACATCTCGCTTCTTAACTCGGTCTTGAACCCTATCGTCGATGCTGTCGCCGGAAATCCCGACGCTATCATGCGCAGCGCCTACTTTGACTCGCTGCAATTCCTTCTCAAGTGTGCACCCACTTCCATTGCTCCCCCTGATAATCTCCAGTCTTCACAGTCCTCCGTCTCGAGATCGCGAGAACCTATTTCTAAGCTTTTCCTGCAATCCAGATATACGCAGTTCCTGCCCACTCACGCCCTAAGCAAAATATTCGACCTTATTATGAGCGGCCTAGCAGCTGAGGCCGATACTATCAACAACGACCTCGAAAATCCCGACGAGCAGGAGATAATCGCCCACCACAAATCTCTACTCGAGATATACGGCTTCCTGTTACAATGGACAATCGCCTGCGTCGAGACGAAAGCCGCCGAAAAGTCTTCTACAGCCCCCGTATCGCGCGCCAGGGGTAAAGGCGCCAAGTCCAAGGCTACGAGCAAAGACAAAGACGGTAATTGGGATAGTGCCGCCCAGCTTCAATCGGCATTGGATGTTATGTCTAAAGTTCTTAAGTTGAAACTGGGCAAGATATTCCTAACGACCAGTGAGCGCGATACCTTCATAGGCCTTCTCACTAGACCTGTCTATATGGTCCTAGAGAGCGAGCAGAGAGTCAAGAATACAGCCATCAAAATGTATGCCTTCAAGGTTCTTTGCATTGCCGTAAAACATCACGGCCATGGATACGGTGAGCGGACTTAACAGTCAAATTAACTTGGCAGGAATACTGACATAGTCATAGCGGCGCAAATATCCATCGTCCAGAATCTAACTTACTTCGAACACCTGTCTGAGCCGATGGCCGAGTTTCTACACATATTAGCTGAGCAATACGACTACCCGCAGTTAGCTGATGAGATCCTAAGAGAAATCAGTAATAAGGAATTTAATACCAATGATACAAAGGGCCCGAAGTCGGTTTCCTCGTTTATTGTCAAGCTCTCCGAGCTTATTCCCCGCCTAGTGATCAAACAGATGACGATGCTAGCCAAACAATTGGATAGCGAGGTATGTATGGCCCCCGAATTCTAGTCAGCCGGCCTAACATATAGTAGTCGTATACCCTGCGATGCTCGCTGATCGAGGTTTGCGGTAACATGATCGCACATCTCACCACGGAGGAAGAGCGTAGCGAGAATCACAAATCTCAGCTTAATGCTTTCTTCGACGTGTTGGAGGAGCGTTTCCTAGATATCAACCCCTATTGCAGATGCAGAGCTATGCAGGTCTATACGAGGCTCTGCGAACTTGAACAGAAGTTTCCGAAGCGTAGGCAGAAGGCCGCTGAACTTGCCAGCAGAAGTCTCGAGGACAAGAGCAGTCACGTCAGAAGAAATGCAATAAAACTTCTGGGGACTCTGATCAAGACCCACCCCTTTACTGTACTACACGGAGCTCAACTGTCTCGCAAAGACTGGCAGGAAAGACTTGACAAGGTTGATGCCCAGCTAGACGCTTTGAAGCCTCCAGCTGGTGAGCCTGGCTTGGGAGAAGACAAGGCTAACAGCACAGCACTAGTAGATGAGCCAACTCAAATAGAGTCGCCTCAGAAACCTAGTGAGATGACCGATGAGGAAAAGGTGGCGGCGGTTCAGAAAGCCCAGGAAGACGCCGCAACGTCGGAGGCCATCGAAAAGCTAACTTTGACAAAGCGATATTACACTGATGCCCTTAAGTTTATCGAAGTTTTACATAAGGCTACCTCATCTGTTTGTCAGCTTCTTGGGTCTAAGAATAAATCTGAAGTTATTGAAGCAATGGACTATCTAGAAATTGGAAATGCGTATAACATCGAGGACAATATGGTTGGAATTCGACGAATGATGCGCCTTATCTGGACGAAGGGTAACAGCGATGAGGGTAAGGGTGTACAGTCGCATCTCATCGACTGCTACAGACGATTATTTTTCGAAGCACCGGACAGCTTTAGTCCGAACGATGCTGCTATCTATATTGCGAGGAATATGATCAGCCTCACGTCAGGCACTACGCCGGCTGAATTGACTAGTCTAGAGCAACTCCTCGCAACCATGATGAAGGGCGGTATGATCTCTGATCGAGTAGTAACGAAATTGTGGGAGGTATACGGCTTCCACAAGAGAGAAATATCTCGATCTCAACGAAGAGGTGCTATCATCGTATTAGGCATGATCGCTACCGCCTCGCCAGAAATTGTCGTCGGCGAAATGGAAACGATGTTACGAACTGGGCTTGGATCGCATGGTCGAGCCGACCTCCAACTGGCTAAGTATACATGCATTGCTCTGCAAAGGCTTAACCCTACAGGTCGACAAGCCAAAGATTCGACAGTCAAGTTCAGTCGTCTTCCAAACGAGCACGCCGTACTAGCAAGGCTGGCAGCAATTACCGAGGTGCCAAGCGACAGCAAGGAGTGGTTTGGAGTTGCTGAGCAGGCCATTAATGCAATTTATACTCTCGCTAAACACCCTGATACGCTATGTTCCGAGATAATTAGACGCAGAACTAGAGTCGTATTCGCCGCACAACAGAAATCGCCTTCTGCATCTCGTCCGGGGTCGAGGGACCAGGGCTATACTGCCACTGTTACTGTTGACCAAGGCATGACCCAGGGCATCACCATGGACCTCGACGCTCCAACTCAAACCGTCAACCGGTTAACTTCAGAACCACCGGCCGAACCCAAACAGAAGGCAGCGATTGCGCTATCCCAGCTTCTTTTCATAGTTGGCCACGTAGCCATCAAACAAATCGTCCATCTCGAACTCTGCGAGCTCGATTTCAAGCGACGGAAGCAGGAGAAGGAGAAGGATTCCGTTGCTAAACCCGCCGCCCCACGGCCATCCGTGGGCCGAAGGGGCAAGACAGCTACCCCGGCCGTGGAAGAGGCGGGCGACGAGCTAGACCTGATTGGTGGCACGACAGAAGATGATTTCACGGAGGCTATGGCGCACATACGTGAGCAGGAGCTTTTGTTCGGACCGCAGTCCTTGCTAGCCAATTTCGGCCCATTGGTAGCCGAGATCTGCTCACGCAGCGACATATATAGAGATAAAGGCTTACAAGCTGCAGCAACACTTTGCCTGGCGAAGCTTATGTGTGTCAGTAGCGAGTATTGTGAGGCTCACCTTCCGCTACTCATCACCATCATGGAGCGGTCGCCGGATGCAACAGTGCGGTCGAACGTAGTCATCGCACTTGGCGACATGGCCGTCTGTTTTAACCACCTCATTGATGAAAACACGGACTTCTTATACCGACGGCTAGCCGACCGAGATCTATCTGTCAAGCGCACATGCTTGATGACGCTGACATTCTTGATTCTTGCGGGACAGGTCAAGGTGAAGGGACAACTGGGCGAGATGGCCAAATGCTTAGAAGACGAAGACAAGCGAATCGCCGATTTGGCGCGTATGTTCTTCACAGAGCTAAGCACTAAGGATAACGCAGTGTATAATCACTTCGTAGATATGTTCAGCCTGTTGTCCACGGACCGCCGGATGGAGACGGAGGCATTCCGACGGATCGTTAAGTTCTTGTTAGGATTTGTCGAGAAGGTGAGCTTCGTGTACACTATATGTTGTGCTGTCCAATATTTTATGCTGACAATATCATAATAGGACAAACACGCAAAACAGCTCGCAGAGAAACTAGCGGCTCGTCTTCCACGCTGCGAAACGGAAAGTCAGTGGAACGATGTTGCGTTTGCACTGGGATTACTCCAACATAAAAATGAGGACATCACGAAGGTGGTGAGCGAAGGTTTCAAGGTGGTACATACTGCTGCTTAGACTAATGGCAGTGTCCACGATGACGCATACGCTCGGGTAATGAATAACTAGCTGTATTTAAGACACGTATGAATGGATTGATGACGATGGAAGGAATCTGGCGTTTGGCTGTCAAGAGGTAATTAATAATCCTCGTGATAGGGGAAGTGCGCTTATTGGAGTGAAATTCATGGTAGAATTACAGCGATTGGCCCCCCTTTTCTCCCCTGACTACAAAGCTGTCTAGGTATTCCTATCCTTGGGCGGGGCTGTGTGTAAAATCGACAGGCTAGATATCTTCACAGCTCTCTTAGAAATTGCTACGTACCTAATATGGAGGGCTTATCATATAGCTAACTTGCCTCTTACTTATGAGTAGCACTTCAAACTATATAATAATAGTAGGAGCTACAGACTCAACCGAACGACCTTAATAGCTTGTTTATTTCTTTATATACATATCTCGCACCGATGCCAACTTCGGGGAGCTCTTCCGGTCGTAGCTAGCTGCGTATTGTATTGCGTCCTAATATATGTAGAGTGTATGTGCCACTACCACCGTTCTTCTTTATTTCGTCACATTGGATGGTGTAACGGCAAACGTTGGTCTCACGTATCTGCGAGCGTACATATATATATATCAGCATTGATTCTTCCCCCTAGCCTTGTAACGATTGCTCAGGCGGGAGGGTAACGTGAGAGGATAACATACTTTCCAGAGTTGTAGACTTGCATGTTCTCGCCCAGCAGCTCCTTCTCGCGGGCCTGATCGGCTAGATGTCTGCGGACGAGATCGCGGTCTTCCTCGGCTTGGAGTAGAGGGATCAAGTGGATACGCGACCACATCTTTTCTCGGGCAAGCTCACTACGAGCAAAGAAAAACAGACGGTCAGCATCGAATCTATCCTATGCCGTTTGGCATGATGAGGCCAGCGAGCGGGATACGCACTTCTGCTCTCGGATGCCCTGTCCCAACTTGTAGAAACCAAAAGTCATAACGGCACCCATGGCGAGGAGTAGCGTCGCTGGGCGGAAGCCTGGAGCGGGGAGGTTACGCTGTGGTGAGAGAGAAACGCATGTTAGCCTTGAATTCAATTCATCACCACTTCTCGTCCTGTTCATAACCCTCGGACATAAATATCAAGGTAGATAAATAACGAATTAAACAAACTAACCTTGTACTGTACAGGGCCGTAGCCCCCGATTGGGGGCAGATCCTGAGGCATTATGGCAACGGGTATTTCGTGGTCGATATTTTGTTGTCGTCGTCGGGAAATCTAACAGACCAATTGACCAAAGCTCCCGATTAATAACGACCGATGGGTTCGAATCCTGAGACGTTTAACTGGACCAAAGCTTTGATAAATGTGGAGACATAAGAAGTATTCTTTACCTATCTTACATAAGGATGTCACGTGTATTAAAATGCACATACGTTCTCGGTCAATAGGTAGCAAGATTATCTACCTAGGTACCTTATATGAATATCTTATATGAATTGCCTCGACTACGCTCAGTCAACTATTCAATTAATACATAGTACAGTTGATAACATAGTACAGTTGATAATAGATCCACATAGAGAAAAGGTTCCTTTACCAAATTGTCGTCAAGCAGCCCAACTAAATAAATCGCTATGCAAAACCTTCCAAGCAAAACCAGCCCTCCTTAATTCCGGTAGGTATCACACATAATGCCCGCCTGCACTCCTAGACTCCTATGTGTCTGCCGCCTACGAAAAATAACTCCCCTTAGACACATTCGGTCAAGTATAAACACCCATTGAAATTGAGACAAGTATATCATGTCCGAGCGTGATGAAAAAAAAAATACCCCTTACAGCATAATGATGATGATGATGAAAATGATTATGATGATGTGCCTGTTTTTATGCGCCGCCAGAGTCATGCATTCGTCCACTCGTGATACAGACGGACAAACCTATCAAAACAAACGCTTCCTCTTGCCTCTACCAAGTCCCAGTCCGCATCAAGTTTTATAGGTAAGGTCGATAAGTCAGTCAACCACCTTCGCCTGCTGCTTGTAATTCAGCTTCTAGCTCGGCTTCCAGGTCGGCAAAGTCGTCATCGTCTTCGCCGCTAACTTCCCCATTACCCTTGGCATTGGCTTCGCGCGCCGCATCTTCTTCGTCGCCCGTACCCATCGGCGTTGGCAACCCGCTATCCTCTTCGTCTTCCTCGTCGGTAGCGTTTCTGACGTTCCGAAGACCTGTAGTCCTCGCTTTCGCGATGCGCTGTTTCTTGGCTAACACGCTTCCGCCAGCCTCTTCGCTACCATCATCTTCATCATCCTCGTCGCCCAGCTTACGCTTTTTACTCTTGGGCTCCTCCGATTCTGCATCCGTGCCGCGGTCCGTCCCCTGCGTGCTTTCGAAATCCGAGTCGTCCATATCCGATCCCATGAACTCCTCGAGCTCCTTATCGACATCACCCCATTCCATCCCATCGAGATCGTCTATAGGACTATGCTGGCCGTCTCCGATATCAGGCGGCATTACATTGTATCTGTCGTGGAACTCTTCGTCCCCATCATCATCGTCATCGTCTTCCTCTTCCTCCTCTTCCTCCTCCTCATCATCCCCTGAGCCATCCGCGTCGCCGTCATCGGCAGCGTCGTTCATTTGCTCCTCAAATAATTGACGACCTGAGGTGACGATGGTAATTTTTGGCCGGGGAGGCGAAGCTGAGCCTTCCTCCAACGGTGTTTCGGCATTTCGATCGGCAGGGTGTACTTGTATGAGATACGGCGTCTCATCAAGCCTCGCCCACTGTGCGATGGACTCCGCAAGCCAATTTTGGTTGACTATTTTGATCGTAGGGATGCGTGCCGCCTGGCGGACCTTTTGAGTTCGCGGGCGTGTGATGTTAATAATGAGATGGGTAACCTCATCGCTCACGCGTGTCCGGATCTCGGCACCAAAACTTTCGGCTTGCATTCCAATTTCACTCCTACGTACGTCGACATCCAACGGGACCAGACCAGAAAGCACAAGTTTCGAGCCTTTAAGAATTTGCGACTTGAGGAAGTTCAGGGTTGATCCTACATCTGGAATCACATCGGGCACGATGTCACCAGGCCGGCGATTCGCACATCGAGCGTCGTATTGTTCGTAAAACGAACGATGAAGTTTGGCTAGATGCTGTTCGAGAAATTTAAGTTCTCTATCGTCATCGCGTAAAAGTTTATGTCGTTGATGTGATGGACTTTCCGACTCTCCATTTGTAGAGGGTTCTGGACTGTCACCGTTCTCTACCGACTTCTCGGTCTCTTCATCCACTTTATCCAACTCTTCCTGCAGATGAAGCAAGGGACGATCCTTGAGCTGTTTCTCAAGGGTACGTTCTTGCTCTTCTGCTCGTAGCTGTAGAATCGCATTCTCATCGTTGCCATTAGCTAATGCTTTTTCGTGATCAGGTATGGGATTTGCCGTATCGCTTCCATTGACATTTGGTCGTGCGGTGTTACCATTGACCGGCTTCGTCTCGGGGGGTGGTGGTGCGGCTATTATATCTTGGCGTTTAGGTAGGAAGCTGGAGTTGATATCTCCAATGCCCGTGAAGAAATCATATGGAGTGACTTTGATTAAATTCGATCTATTCCGTGGCCAGACGTCGGCTCGATCGTCGATGACCACGACCATGTTAGTACTGACGGGAAACAATCGTTGTAGACTCTTGGCTGTTATGCTGTCGTTCTCATCTCGGCTAATGATCCGATTACCGAAGAGTTTTTGTGTCGGATCGACAATCTTGGCGATATTGAGAGCATATGCGCGTGTGCCCATTGTATAAACGTGTAGCTCGAATAGCTGGGATATTCTTTCGAGAAATTCGGCTAGGCCTGGGCGCATCTTAATATAATACCAACAGCCACTGGCCGCACCACGGGGGCCGTCGTCGAGCTGAAAGCTGCGCACATCTTTGACGGCTTCATAGTTGGGATTTAACGGATCGCGTTGCCATTCACCTACGGTAGGGTCGATGCAAGCGTGGATAATTGTCTGGTCCAAGTCGACAACAAGACTGAGTTTGCGGTCTTGGAGCAATCGGCGTTGCAATTGCATTTCGGCGCGTGCAGCTTGGTCCGCGCTGACAGTAAGGGCGATGTTATCGTGTACCATGGCGACTGTAGCGCGTTCGGTATCGAGCGATTCACTGGCGTAGGTAGCCTCCTTCATATCTTTACCGCATATGGCGCAAAGACCAGCGTATTGTACTTCGTGGCCGCAGGACTCTTCGATGGTGACAAGATCCTGATCTTTCTTAATCACTTCTCCTATCTTAACCCGCCATTGCTTAACCTTACCCTCGGCAGGGCTGTCCCAATCTGCGACACCTGTTTCTTCTATCTCATGTTCTTCATTTTTACTCGGGTCGCCAACGCTGCGCGTATACTGAAAGGTATATCGAAGGATAGGCTCTTGCTTGGAGACATCGTCGCCGTGGTTTTTGAGGAATTTGGATATAGTAATGGGGTAGCGGAGCCGAGCTCCGAGTCGGAGCGTCTTTGCCATGACTGGCGGTGTTGAAAGGTCTCGAGACTTAAGGGACCAGGGTTCTGACAAAGGACACAATGTTAGCACTTGTTGGTCTGCATGAGGGTTGTAAAGTTGTTAGAGCTGGAATGCATTAATGAGTAAATCTGACTCCCTTGTTCAACTTGAGGTATTTGGGGCAAGTTAACGGGGAGAGCCGAGGAAAAGGAGAGACTTTGCAACCGAAGGGGTATAGAAACTGCAGACGGAACAAAGAAAGAGTATTGTACTATTATATGCGATAGGGACATAAAGGTTAGGTTGACAATTAAGAAAGTTAGAAGACTGACCTCTGTGTGCTACTCTATCGATGGCGGAAGTTGTAAAAATGAGCTAGGTTGAGCTGAAGAGCACCAGTTTTGCCCATTGCACTAGGGATTGAAACAGGTCTCTTGGCAGGCGACAGCACACCTTATATGCAGGTTGTATGTTATCGCCGCAGATAGAGAGAGGAAGAATGCAAGTAGGGGTTTCGGCGTATAATTCGGTTGACGTGAGGAGGTAAGATCTAGTACGAGCACTCTCTAGTGATGGTAAATCCGTAGTAACACTATGTCGCGTAGTAATTACGGCGGTTGACCTAAAAGACTGGCGAAGGAGAATATGAGGATGTGAAGTTGTATGTTGTGAATGTTCCGAATGTGGTAGAAGTCTTAAGGAGAAGGTATGAGCTTATTGCTTGTGCGCGTTGCAATAGCTTCCGGGCTTTTGGTCTGAAAAAGCCAAAGGAGGTTAGTGAGTTTGATTTAATAATGGACTAGAGTGATACATATAAAAAGAACCAATCAACGTGTACGGGATATCCCGGTCTTGTGTGACGCTGTCAATTGAGGAAGTAGCTTCCAAGCTTCTTCGGTAAGACGAATTGGAGCCAAGGTGAGAATGAATTATGTACGTATACAACTTGTGGAACCCCGAGCTTCAGATAAGTAGGTACTGCCAAGCATATGCCCAGTAGAAGTAGAGCGGCGTTTGCGCAATACTTATAAACGGCACGACAGCTTGGTCCTGTGGTTGACGTGACGGAATAATGGGATGAGATAAACAGCTGAAGTTAGGTAGATAAGCCGGCACTTGCATGCAGTAAAAAATAGGGTGATGATGGCATTGTTTTGTATGTTTTGTATACGAGTACAAAATACTTCCAATCATATGACGTGAAGAGTCGGGTGCTTCAAGCCTCAGCTAAAAAGAAGAAGAAAAGAAACTAAAGAAAAATGCCCACACGTACCTCGATACCTTAGCACTTATTGGTTGCACGAAGTCGATCTTTATTCAATGTTGCGTGGCGGAGGATTAGGCAATGGGAGCTGGTCTAATTGGTCAATACGTTGTAGCTTGGTCAATAGCAGGGTCAAATATACCGCTAAGTACTCTGACCAGCCGCCTGAGGTAATGTGTTATGCGTGAACTTCCGTGGTAACTTCCGTAGTAAGGTAGTGTAGGTTACAGATGTAGTTGGTGGTGGCGTAAGTAAAAGTAACCGTGAAAAAGTAACCGTTAATTTGTATGTATAGGTAAGTAATCCTTTAATCCGCAATTACCTATTATTCTGGGTGACGGTTATGTAGGATGTAGTTGCCCCTAGATAGACGGGATAAAGCTTGAAAGGAATTGCGAGATGCTAAAAAGTCAAAGACGAAAGTAAAAGTGATGAGAATACCTCTTAGGTAGAAATAAAGAAATGTTCGTCTGGACACAAGCCACGGAACAAAACGCCTCTTTCTCCTAAAATTCACAAGCGAGATGGTGTCCCCTTAAAAATCTCACTTGGGGATGAGGGGCCTTTTTGTACCTGCTGGCAAGAGCCTGGCCTGAGCTGCACCCCTCGTAGCCCCTTGTCCGTTTGCGGGGGGAAGCTATGCGATATGGCCACTTTTATTGGATACTTAAATGACGTGGCTCAAGCTCTGTGTTGTGGCTAGTGCTACCTAGGTACCTAGGTAGTGTATTCTACATCCTATCAACTCCCTACCTCCTATGTATCTATCTTACATGTCAGAAAAACCTAACCTAGGCGAATAGCATTTTGTTTCACACTTCTTAATAAATATAATATGTAGTTAAAACCCAGATGTAAAAAAATTCTTAAGAAGCGACATTTGTCTAAACGCATTTACACGCACCAAAGGGCTTCATCTGATGTAGAGCTCATGAATTTCAAAGTCCATATCATAAAATAGTAAATATTCCTAAGTTGCGCAAAATCTCAAACGGAAGCAATATCCAAATCAAAATACTATTCATAATCCCCGCGGTAATAAGTACCTATTGATATCAACTATTGATAACAGTATCGCGGAGATATTTGGTCTGTCTCTATCGTCTTGCTTGTTCGCTTGCCCGTTTCCTATACCCCATAAACCCAATGTGTAGCCGCTGCTGATTACCCCTTAACCCTTATACGTCATTGCAAGATATTTAGGCAAAGTTATTATGAGATAGAGAGAAGGAGAAAGACCAAGCCAGGCCCTGACGCCCGCACTGGCAATGCAGAAAGACCAATCTATGCGCGCACAACCCTATGCATAATGTAAAGTCTGTGAATCCAATCAAGTTTTAGGCGGCATCCAATACTCTGATGCAGTATTTGTCCTGTTTACCCTGCGTATTAAAATGCAGATATTGTCGAAGACCCCTTGGAGCAGAGGCTTAGTTCCGACCCAGAGGCTACGGTACTAGCCGACCGTGCAGGAGTCTCCCTAAGAACCCGTCATAGTCGGTGCCGACCTGATCGTTCCAGGACTCGTCCCAACTCTGCTACCGAGCAACCTCGAGCCCAACGCCGTGGACCCAGTCGCTCCGCTCATACTAGACTCCATCTGGGAGAGCGTGCTTTTCTTAACAACGAGCTCCGGATCTATGTCGTCCCCCCCAACAAACGTCCAACTCTCTTCCTCCGAGTCGTCGGCTATGGTGCCATCTGGGCTGCTGGCCGTAGCTGCATTCTTCCCAGTTTTGGATTTGATCAGGCTCTTGGCATACTCAAGATCGCGGTAAATACATTGAATCGCCGTATCGACACCATTTTCCTATAAGTATGATTAGACACCTATAATCGAAATACGTTTTAGTTATACTCACCTTGCGGATGGTTTCTCCTAATACTCTAGCCTTGACTATCATCCTCTCGCTGTGCGTGGTCTCCCACAGCGCCCTTGCAAAACTGTTGGCGCCCCATTTTTTCAAGCAGATACCAACGCCTAAGTCCTCAACTCGACTACCGAAGAAGAATTGATCGCCGAAGAACGGACGAATAATGGTGGGAATACCAGCACGTAGGCTAGCGCCCGTGGTCCCTGAACCGCCGTGATGAGCAGCGGCGTCCATTTGCGCAAATAACCAGTCGTGGGGCGCACTTTTAATCTGGAATATCTCGGGTGGGAGGGTTTGTTCAGGCACTGCGGCGTCCTTACTACCGAGGCGGTCTGACCACCCCTTGGACAGAACGCATCGGACGTCAGCTTTCAATACCGCATCAATGACTTCTTGTGTCATCTTCGCCGGGTCGGGTACAATTATTGAACCGAAACCAACATAAACCAGCTTCTTGTCGTCTTTGCGTGCTTGCTGGATGAAGTTCCTAAGATCATCGGGTGGAGTCCACTCAGTCCCTTCGTCTAAGAACCAATAACCTGTCACACGAATCCAGTCGCTGTAGTCAAGCGGAGGTGCGACGACGGCTGGGGAGAAGTTATAAAGGAAAGGTACCTTATTCGGCTGTAACTTTTCTAAGTTGGTATTAGGCAGGCCGAGAATATTATTTCGCCAACGGTTAATTTGGTGTGCTGTCGCTTTCCAGAACACGTTGTCAAACATAACGTATGTGACGTAGTTGTAAGCACCACCCATCTTGTGCTCAGGCATGACGAAAGCATGAGGGTAAGCGCGCGTTCGGGTCCAGGGCATCGTGAAAGCTCGGAAGTACGGGATAGCCAGGGCCTCAGCGATGTGAATCCCAGCCATAGCGCTGGGACTCTCAATAAGCAGGTCCGAGCCTTGGCATGCCGTATAAGCAGATGCGAGGAGCTCGTCCAACCAACCTCGGAATTTTGAGTTGGCCTCTCTCAAGAAAGCCCACGTGAATGTGCCGTTTTGGATACAAATACGCATGAGCTCGCTGGGGTCCCCCTCCACCGGTGCGAACTCGATGCCGTGCCCCTCAATCCAGGTCTTAAATTCAGCATGTGTTGCTATTCGAGGCTTGTGGCCCTCGGCCATTAGTCCTTTGCAGAGTGCAATATATGGTTGAACATCTCCTCTTGATCCGATTGTCAAGCAGGTGATCTTCATCGGCTCGGAGGGCTTGAAGTTTAGGAACGATGCCTTAGGATCGTCGAAGAGAATTGTTGGCGATGAATCATTGAGACAGGATGTTTCGTGGGGTAGTTTTAGTTCGTGCTCTGTATTTCCTTGAAGTCGTGCTTTGTGAAGCGCGTCGCGTTCCGCCATCGCTTCATCTACATCTTCGTGTTCTTCCTGATCTAACATGCCAATTTCTCGGAGATAACGAGTGGTCTCAAGACTTCGTAGCAGGGTAACCGTACAATCATCCCGTATTTCTGCTTTGTTGAATTCAAAGAATATTTCTTCGTGGCCGCGAATAACAATCACTAGGCCGGAATACCCAAAGCGAAACCCCTTCTCTTTCTCGGCAGTCTCGATGTCCTTTAGAGGTAGGATTAACTTGGTCCGGGTCCCGAGCAGCAGGCTACGGAAGCAGAAATATCGTTCACTTATGTATACCTTACCATAGAGCGGCAACACCCGAACAATGTAGCCGTAGTAGGTTGCTTGGAGTTTCTCGGTTTCTGGGAGGGCAAAATGCGCGCGGAATCGATCCATATCGACGCCGTCGTCGTCGTCTAATTCGCCATCAGGTTTGAGGGCAGGGGCCTCGTGATAATGTTTGCGGCCACCTTTCCACATTCCCGATACCTTTTCCACGTAACCCATCGACTCGGTAGCTAATAGGTTACTCATATGGCGGCTGGTTTGATTTAGATAGTTAGCAAATAAACCCGCTCGTTGCAACGGATAAGCTCCCATTTTTGCAATCTTGTTCAGTCCCGGCGTGGCTGTCGACGTTTGATCAAATTTCTCATTAATTCTAAGGTCATTCACATGTCCCGTAGTGACGGCGCGATGCTTATCAAAAATAATTGATTCGTCTGATTTGTCACGTAAACGACTTGTACCAGTTGACCTGTCTCGCCTCGAAGCTCGCGAAGCTGAAATGGAGCGCCGGAGAGTAGGCCTATGAAAGACTTCGCTGCCTCGGAGAATTTGACTACCAGAAGG